AATCAACCAATTGACAGGTAATGCTAGATTCTGACTGCTCAGGCCAAGCAGAGGCCTGGCCTCTCTTGTTTCCCTCTCGCCCAGGCCCTTTCGGGCTTGCCAGGCTCTCCTCGGTGGGTTTGCCTGGGCTATTTTTGATATGACCCACCTCCTTCCTTAGCACTGGCTAAGCAGGTGTGACTGTGTGGACTTGATAACCTGATTTGTTTAGCTCGAGCGATAAGTTTTGTTTCATGAATTATATGAGTCATATGGATTTCAAAGGCTTACCATGAGGACTCTGCAGATGTCCTCGGCGGAGGACTATGGCGGTCTGCCACTTGTGCACAAACAGCCGCTTAAAGTGAAACTGGATAAATATTAAATATCATTGGAAATTTTCTTTCTTCCGCTGAGCACAACGCCATTTCACAACGACTGCATCATACTGGGACAGCCAGCTCATTGTAATGGGGTGTAATTTCGCGTAAGAAGATAGCATCAGATTGAGGTTGTGCCAAGTGTATTGGTCAACCTGTAAGTGCCTCAATTGCTTTTGAACAACAATTATGGGAATTTAAGAATCATTTCAAAGGCAAAGTGATTATGGAACGTGTCTGAAGTTGACTTCAGCGTTTTGGGCGCCTCCATAATGTTCAGCAACGGCAAGAGCATTGCTGCTTCTGTCATGCCTGAAGCCTCAACATTCCGAATGATATGATATCGTAGTCGTGATTTGCGTCGTTCAGTGAATGGTAATGACACTGGACAGTTGATGCGTCAACTGTGCCAAACACGAACGGACACGCGGGTACCAACCCTGCCCACAGTCTGAGAATCGACACTTCAGGCCGTTGCAATCAGCAGAGTGAGAACTGTGGGTCTGCTCACACTGTACTCGGCGAACATGTTCGCTGCATGATGTGCCGGGCTCATTCTGCTGTGCAGTACGGAGGCAACCCTGCTCTTGGGAGGAGTTCTGCATGCACGACCAAAGAGAGCTAATACGACATACATACACAGAGTGAACCAAGGGAGTAGCTAGTGGTTGAAGCAGGGTATGATTACAAGGAAAACGAGAAAGGAAAAGAAAGAGAAAACGAAGCAATTTAAGTGCAGTGTGCGCCCTTGTGGCAATGGTGGTCTTGAAGGCACTGCTCAGGGGCGGCCTGATTTTGAGCTGATTGGTTTTAGCTGGCACCCCAAGTAGCTGATCCATAGAGGAGGTTTGTAGTGTCCGTGCAGGCCTATGCGTTTTAAAGTTTAAACATGTCGAGAAATTGCGCTTATCCACCACAGATATGAGCTGTTGGCTGTGCTTGCAGTTCATGATGAGACTCTGCTACTTAGGCAGTCAGACAGGTCTCACGTGGCAGAATTTCAGTGGGAGGCACATGATGTTCAGGTGGGAGGAAAACCCTGGCAGCGAGTCGAGCACTAGGGCATCAGGCTGTTGTTCCCACTCTTTGCTAAAGCTTGTTTTGAAGATCACCTCTAGATCTCCCTTCCTCTGCTAAGGTAACATGTCCCCAAGGAGCTGTGTACTGTTGGTGTTTGTCAGTTCTGACCTGCAGAACCACTGACACTTGATTGGCCCAGATGTTTCGGCTGGCCGCTTGGAGCCTGCGGGCTGCTGTTGGAAGGAGATTTTGGGTGAGGAAGGTTTGGGTGGATGCCGGTTTGAAATCTGTGCGCTCTGGTGTTCTTCTCCCTCTGTGCGCTCTGGCGTTCTTCTCCCTCTGTGCCTTGAAGAGATCTGATCGACAAGGCTGCAAGTTTTTCTCAATCTCAGCTGCTGCCGTTGCCTTCTAGGCCTCCTGTCAGTCGTGCTGGCTCCCAGAGGAAGTGTGAACAGGTTCCGTAGCTTCACTTCTAATGTGGTAATAGTTGATGTCAGGAACTGTACCAGTACATCATTATCTTAGCTAAAGGAGAGGGGAGTTGGGGAGGAGTGGGAGGGGGGGCGGGGGGGGCGAGGAAGAGGAATGTCCGGTGCGACTCAATGTGGCACTCTTTTGCTGATTTTTTGTTGTTGGGCAGCACTTACCACTAAAGGCTTCACTCCACCTCCACCACTCGCCAAATGTAGAAAAAAGTTCAAAAAAACAGAAAACGGGCGAGTGTATATTTCCTCCTAGCTGGAGATGCACCCACAGTCTTACAAATCTGGTGAGTAGTGCAGCGAGGCCCTAAGGCCACAGAGACCTGGGGTGCTCGGTGCGCCAGAGTTGGGGAATCTGCTTCTGACAACTTGCACACCTCAGCACTTTGAACTGGCCTTATGCCGTGATCCAAGATGGGAGCACTCCCAGCTAATGGGCAGACATTATTTTATTTGTTTCGCAAATTGCGCTCTTTTAGTTCATAGTTATGTGACAATATATATGTATAGCTGCACACATGACCGCACCTCTCTACTGGCCAGCTTCATGACAACTGTTCAACGAGTTTTCCCTGTTGTTACACACTGTGTCACACGGGCCCGGTTAGGCCCGACAGATAGGGGTTCGGAGGCCGGTCCAGGCCCAAGGCCGGACCTTTAAACCGGTAGCGCCATTTACAGGCCCACCGGTTGGCCTTTAGGCCACATTTTAGGACCAGACCAGACGGGCAGGCCCAAACGACGTTATCGTTGGGCCTGGCGGCGCTCTTGAGGCTGCCGTCCGCCGGTCTGATCTGAATCGTCACTTTTGACGCGGCTCGGCCTCGCAGCATAGAGGCCGGCCTTTCCACACCGGTACTTAGGTACCGGGAGGCTGCCTGTTCGGCATTTTGGAGCAGCAGTCCTTGGAGAGAACGCTGCGCTATTCTGTTTAGGGCGCAACGCTACTGCAGTAGCGCGAGGTTAGTGCTAGACTGCAGTATGGGATAGAGAGCAGCGAGAGGCTTATCTGGTACTTACCTGTGGCGCCATAGCTTCCGAGGACTTCGACTGCAGAGACCTCAAGGCACCACCTTGCACCTTGCAGGTAGGGTTTCGAACCAGGACAGGGTAACGAGGACACTCCTCCTCCCTAGCTCGCCATCTCTCCCTCCTCCTCTGCTATCTCCTCCTCATCTCCATCCTCTTCTTCTTCAGACTTCTTCTTCTTCTTCTTCTTCTTCTTAAGACTGGAGACATGATACGAGTTGGACAGAGATCAGTGTTGGACTTCGGTGGTAAGAGGCTGTGATACTTACCGGATTCGAGACTTGGAGATTGTTGGGRTTGATACTCRGCGGCATCACAGATTGGACACCGGTTACATTAGGACTCTGTACCTCCGACATTGGTGACTTATTGTCCACGACATTTTGATCTTGTTCGATGACATTTTGGACTACCATATCGGKGACCTACTGGATTCTATCTCGRTGACATCTGGCGCTGCCTACATCTCCCACCTCCTTCGTCTCTCCTCCCACCTTTCATCTGTGTATGGTTGTACGGGGCCTGAGCATCGTCTATGATTGGCTCAGACCCCACCATCTCACGATTGCTTGTGTGTGGAGTGATATCTGTATGAGTTCAGTCTATGTGAGTCAGTCCATTTATCAGACTTCCGCTGCATACATGCTCATCCTATATTGGTTGATCTTTGGTTCTGCCCATACTTGTTGAAGCATTCACTAGTATGCAACAGTTTCGGTATCGGAGCAGACCAATCAATGGATCTGCTCACAAGGTAGTTCTGATTAGGAAATAGATTGATTTTCCAAATCAGTTCTGCACTACTATCGAGATTCAAGTTGCAATTTTTTTTTTTCGGGATTCTGTTTTAATTCGGCATTCCGTTTCACTTCGGTATTCTGACTTTCAAATGGGGATTCTGTTTTAATCCGGTATTCTGTTTAATTTGGTATTCCGTTTATTTGGTATTCCGTTTAATCCGATATTCTGTTTTAATTCGGTATTCTGATTCTACTTCGTTATTCTGTTTAAAATTTAAATCAGTATTCTGTTTTAATTCGGCATTCTGATATCAATTCGGTATTCTGTTTTAATTCGGCATTCTGTTTTGATTCGGTATTCGTTTTTTTAAAAATCGGTATTATGTTTTATTTCGGTATTGGAATTAGGGTTACGATAAAATTTCGGTTTTTCGTTCAATTTGGAAAATTCGAATGTTTTGGAACCGTAAAACCAAAAATTCCGCGGAATCGCGGAAAATTAGGGTTGGAATTTGAAGTTTTCATGATTTTTTTTTTTTTCTTTCCCTAATTTGAGAAATTTCGAATACGGACTCAGGCCTTCAAAAATCGGACTTTTGTAGGTTGAAATTCCTGAAATTTTATGTTTTTTGAAAATTCGAGTGTTTTCCTTCCTGACTATCCGAAATTTTTTTGGGCAAACGGTTCGGAATTGTTCCCTCAGAACTGCAACTTCGGGGTAATTCACTAATAAACAGTGAACTCCTGGACCATAGGTGATCTCAACGGATACCTAATCTTTTCACAATTTAAAATTCATTAATTATCATTATTGCAATTATTGATTAATTTTATTGATTATTATTAAGAGATTATAAATTCGTTATTAATCATTAATTAAATTTTATTGATTATTAATTCGTTATTATTTCTTATTACGAATTTTTAAGTTGTTTTGAGGAAAAGTTCATCTTTTTCTTTTGATTAGGTGTCTAGTCCACAATTGGGACAGGGACTGTATGAGAATTGCTTGATCTGTTCTACACCTATTCCCACACTCCCTACCCTCCCCGAAATCTGTGACCACCGGGACTTCTCAAGTACCACATCAGCTTGTGCTGATGTCGACGGAACAGGACACCGGGGCATTGCCACGACGCAGTGCCAGGCTTGCAGTTCATAGCCACTCTGTGGTACCTCCACGAACTAAGTATCAGCAAAAGCGACTCAGCAGGCGGACGACTCCAGTGGCATCAAGTACAGCAACTGCAGTACCAGTTACCACCGGGGCTCTTCCAGCATGTTCGGTCCAAGGGGCCCACGAGCCGTTGTCTGATTACCTTCAACGGGTATAGGCATTTACGAATGTCGTCGCTACCGCTAAGGCACAGCAGGAGGCAGCAGAGGCGGAACGTCAGGGACTGGCCAATGAGGCGGCAGCCCAAGCTCAGCGAATTGCTGAGGCTGACGTGATGGTTCGAGACAAGCGGAACGCCATCAGCATGGAATCCTCGACTCAGAACGAGAGTCACTGGAAGACACTACTCCAAGGCATGATTTTTGAGCCTTCGGACGAACGGGCGGAATCGACACCGGCGGAGGCAGAAAGGAGTAACCTGGCTGACCTGATGCTGAACGTGATGCGGGCGGTGATGTGGAACAATACGATGTTAACTGTGCAGATACACGAGGGCAGACGGCTGGGACAGACTCAGCAGAAAGATGCTGCAGCCTTAACAACCGTTGTTCGCGCTGCCGCCACACATCAGCAACAACAGCAACAGCTGTTGAACACCACCACCTCATGCGCCAACAGCATTGAGGCCAAGGCCTCAGCAGCGCCAGGCAACACGACAGACACGGCGAGGCAGCTCGGGGAGCGCATCGACCATGTCGTCACTATTATCGACGAACTAGGTGATTTCACTAGTCTGGCCACGATCAGCAGCACGGTGGCCGCCATCAAGACCGACATCACCAAACTGCAGACAAGACCGGACGCCGCTCCAAATGGATGAACCATCCCGCGGCCAATCAGAAATGCACCATCGCCGAACTCCACACGCACATTCCATGGAAGGAGTTCGAGCAACTGTGGTTCACTCGATTCATTGTCCGCAACGTTGTAAAGGCGGCCATGAACGAGGTCTACACCAGCTCACAAGGAAACATGCCAACTTGAGACTGGACGATCAAGTGGCAGAAGATAGTAACCACTCCAGGCTTCGACTCGAGTTTTCCAAACCAACGATCCAAATTCTTTTCGTGATCTTGCGCCGGACTGCGGTCGACACTCGGCAACGAGTACGATTATGCCTCATTCCAGGCTATTCTAGATCGTGCGAACCTGGTCATCCAAACGGATGACAAGGCCGCTAACGAACGGCAGTCCCAGCCGTACTATGTGGCTAAGTAGGGCTATCAACGATCGACACATAACAATGCCGTGATTTATGACGAATCAGTCGATCTCCACGCTGCAGCAACATCCTCGAGTGATGGAGGAGTTGTCGCAGCGCTCCCGCTGAAGCGTCCCAAGAGAGTTCGGAAGAACAAGGCGACACAAGCGACCACATCGACGGGAACTGGGCAGCAACCATGGACGACATACAACATAACCAAGGAGGTATTTGACTTGCGTGAACGGTACGGATATTGCCTATGGTGCAATAGTGTAACCCACACTACCGCACAATGCTCGGACAAGGGCAAGGCACGCGTACCCCGTCCAGCTAACTCGGGAAACTAAGTTACGCAAGGAGAGGGGCGACGCCTCTCCTCACTCCGCCGGAACCGGTTGCCTTGCTAGCGACCGATATCACTACCGGGGAGCATGCGTTAGTCACTGATTCTCGTGCTACGTACGAGGATTATGCCGCCCAACTGGTACCACCATTAGACCAGCCTAGCCACGCGCACTTAGATAGCGTATGCGCAGCCTGTACACCGTCGGCAAGTGAACCTGTCAGTTCGCCACTGATTTCCGAGGACTCGACGGCGTGGTCAGGACTTGAGGAGCCAAGGCCTGCGCGGGCCATAAAGGCTTGGCTCATGAAATTGCGATATGCTCCGCAATCAATCAAGGCACTGCAAGTTGCCTTTCCGATTTGAATGCGGATATAGAGCAAAGGCGCGTCGGTCTCTTCGTACCTTTGGGTGGCTTACTCGCGGTCAATCTTCGCAAGATAGGAGCGGAGATCGACAACCGCTACTCCGTCGTCCGTCAACGGAGCTGGTATTGCAGTGTGCAAATAGGAGCGAAGATTTGCCAACAAGGCGGACCCGCTCACGAGAGAGGACTTCGCTTGGATGCCTCTACCCTCAACCGGAACCTTGCCAAGGCCGCATTGTAACGCCTTGATGGCAAATCTACGCTCCTATTTGCACGCCGCAATACCAGCTCCGTTGACGGACGGCGGAGTAGCGGTTGTCGATCTCCGCTCCTACCTTGCGAAGATTGACCTGGAGTAAGCCACCCAAAGGTACGCCGAGACCGACGCGCCTTTGCTCTATATCCGCATTCAAATCGGAAAGGCAACTTTCAGTGCCTTGATTGATTGCGGAGCATCTCGCAATTTCATGAGCCAAGCCTTTATGGCCCGCGCGTTCAAAGGAAGACGCAACCTACGCAAGTTACACTCGCGGACGACCACACGCAAAAGTCGATCGACCCGTGCATTGACGGCGTCCCGATATACTTTGCGCCACTTGCGTGCGAGCCGGTGTCTTTCGACATCCTCGACGCCAAGTTTGACATGATTCTAGGCATGTCTTGGTTGCGTAGCGCCGATCATCCGGTGAACTTTCATGATCGAACCGTTCACGTCCGTGATCGGAACGGAGTGTTAGTCCCATGTATGGTCGTGACCCCTCATACGTCGATTGCTTGTCACGTGGTTTCCGTTGTGCGGATTCGCGACGCCATAGCTCGAAATGACGTCGAGGAGATGGACCTTGTTTTCTTACATGCCCTCCCCTCGCCGGACGGACCAGCAACATCGCTGCCGGACCCACGTATTACCCACCTCTTAGACGAATATGGAGACGTTTTCGAGGCTCCCACCGGAACGGTTCTGGATCGGCCCATACGTCACGGGATCACTCTCGAGGCTGGTGCCGTCCCTCCGCGTGGATGCATTTACGGCATGAGCGAAGAGGAACTCGAGGTGCTTCGCGCACAACTTGATGACCTTCTCGACAAGGGCTGGATTCACCCTAGTTGTTCGCCATACGGTGCGCCAGTTCTCTTCTTCCGAAAGAAGAACAAGGACCTACGGTTGTGCATTGACTATCGAAAACTTAACGCACAAACCGTTAAGAACGCCGGCCCTCTCCCTCGGATTGATGACCTCCTCGAGCGGTTGGGCGGCGCGACGTACTTCTCGAAGTTGGACTTGAAGTCGGGTTACCACCAGATTGAAATCCAGCCTCAAGATCGGTACAAGACCGCCTTCAAAACGCGGTATGGGCATTTTGAGTGGGTCGTGATGCCATTTGGACTCACCAATGCCCCGACAACTTTCCAAGCAGCCATGACAACGGAGTTCCGAGACTTGCTCGATCGTTCCATCCTCATCTACCTCAATGATATCTTGGTCTATAGTAGGACGCTTGACGAGCACCTCGTACACCTTTGTGTGGTGTTGGATCGTTTGCGAGCAGCCAAGTACAAAGCAAATCGCGACAAGTGCGAATTCGCCAAGCAAGAGCTAGAGTACTTGGGCCATTATGTGACGCGGAAAGGCATTCGTCCCTTAGCGGACAAGATCCAAGCCATCGTGGATTGGCCGGAACCCCGTTGCACGACGGACGTACGCTCTTTCATGGGTTTGGCTGGATATCATCAGCGCTTCGTCGAGTCTTACTCCAAAGTGGCAGCTCCTTTGTCGAGACTTCAGTCCCCGAAGGTACCATTCGAGTTCAACGACGCAGCTCGTGGTGCGTTCAATACGTTGAAGGCGGCGATGCAAGACGCACCGGCCCTTCGTATCTATGATCCCACCCTACCCGTGACTACGGATGCTTCCGGGTACGGTATTGGTGCGGTATTGGAACAATGCCACACGGATGGTTGGCACCCAGTCGAGTACTTCTCCCAAAAAGTGCCTCCCATCAACACTCTCGACGACGCTAGGAAGAAAGAGCTACTCGCGTTCATCACCGTTCTCATACGGTGGCGCCACTTTCTTCTCGGTCGTCGGCGTTTTAGATGGAACACAGACAACAATTCTTTGACCTTCTACAAAACGCAGGACACGGTCACTAGCACGATCAGTCGATGGATGTATTATATCGACCAGTTCGACTTTGAGCCGTGCCACATTCCCGGTCCCGCCAATCGAGCAACGGACGCCCTCTCACGACGGCCCGATCTTTGTGCCCTTGTGACCACGACGTTCAACCTCGACGACGATCTGCAACAACATTTCGTCAACGGTTACAAGTCCGATCCGACGTATTCTACGCTCTATGAGGACCTATCATCGGATCAATCGCCGGCTGGTCATTATCGTATCTCCGACGGTTTCCTACTCCTTCACACGAGAGAGGGAAGGACTTGTTAGTGGTGCCCCAAGATCGCATCTTACAGACTCGTCTTCTCGGCGAATTCCACGACGCACGACTTTCGGCACATCTTGGCGTGAACCGCACATTGGCTCGCCTCCGCCAGCGTTTTCACTGGCCCGACGTTCTTCACGACGTCACGAGGTACATTGAGTCATGCGCAGTTTGCCATCGTAACAAAGGTCGATCTACGGTCCCTTATGGCAAACTGAAATCGATGTCGATTCCTCGGGCACCTCGCCTCTCCATCGCTATGGATGTTACAAGCCCGTTCCCCCGCGATCGCCTCGGCCAGGACGACATTCTCACGGTTGTTGACCATTTGAGCAAGTACGCTCGTTTTTTTCCATGCAAGTATCGTGCTACGGCCCCCGAGCTCGCTCGACTCTTGCACACCGGCTGGATTACCGCCCATGGTGTTCCGAAAGATATTGTGAGCGACAGAGACACTCGCTTCATGTCTGCATTTTGGACTTCCCTCATGACAGAGTCCGGTTCGACTATGAAGCTGAGTTCCGCACGGCACCCGCAGACGGATGGACAGTCAGAACGAGCGCATCAAACCGCTCAAATGATGTTACGTACACTCATCCGTCCCGACCAGAAAGATTGGGTTGACCGGCTTCCCGACATTGAGTTCGCCTATAACACTTCGGTGCACCCGGCGATCTGCATCACTCCATTCGAGTTGCATCACAGTGGAGAGAAAGATCGAGTCTTTGCCGATCTTCTTCTACCACGGGCCGCCGACATAGACGTCGCTTGCTCTCCCGCTTCCGTCCGGAGGTACCGGGACTTGCTGATCAAAGCCCGCGCAAACATGCAAAAGGCTCAAATCCGCATGCAGCAAGCCAACCGATGTCGACTCCCATGTCCTTTCTGCGAGGGAGACCTTGTTTGGGTCCTCGCTGAGGAATTCGCGCTCGAGCAGGACGTCTCGCGCAAACTCCTCCCGAAATGGTTTGGACCATGGACAATAACTTCTGCAGCAGGCGACGACCCTGCATGTCCTTCCTTTGTGATTGCCATTCCACCGCACCTCCGTGTGCATCCGGTCTTTCATGCGTCGAAGCTGGCCATCTACACGCCACCATCCGCAGACGAGTTCCCGGGCAGACGATCACAGGATCCGCCCTCTATGGACGACCATCAGGAAGTTGACCGTGTCATCAGGCACCGCAAGTTTGGCAACAAGCCAACGCAATACCAAGTCACTTTCAAGCAATGTGACCCAGATGACACCCGTTGGATCTCCCGCGCAGACTTACAGGCATCTGCACCTTTCATCTTCTCCGACTACGAGAACCGAAGACTTGCCAAGGACAAAGCTCGTCCCACCCTACCCAACCTGGTATCGGACAGACAACTTCGCCCTCGCAGATAGCTCGGTCTTTTAAGGGGGGGAGTGTGTTACACACTGTGTCACACGGGCCCGGTTAGGCCCGACAGATAGGGGTTCGGAGGCTGGTCCAGGCCCAAGGCCGGACCTTTAAACCGGTAGCGCTATTTACAGGCCCACCAGTTGGCCTTTAGGCCACATTTTAGGACCAGACCAGACAAGCAGGCCCAAACGACGTTACTGTTGGGCTGGCGGCGCTCTTGAGGCTGCCGCCCGCCGGTCTGATCTGAATCGTCACTTTTGACGATTCAGATCACGGCTCGGCCTCGCAGCATAGAGGCCGGCCTTTCCACACTGGTGCTTATGTACCGGGAGGCCGCCTGTTCGACATTCTGGAGCAGCAGTCCTTGGAGAGAACGCTGCGCTATTCTGTTTAGGGCGCAGCGCTACTGCAGTAGCACGAGGTTAGTGCTAGACTGCAGTATGGGATAGAGAGCAGCGAGAGGCTTACCTGGTACTTACCTGTGGCGCCATAGCTTCCGCGGACTTCGACTGCAGAAGACCTCAAGGCACCACCTTGCACCTTGCAGGTAGGGTTTTGGATCAGGACAGCGTAACGAGGACACTCCTCCTCCCTACCTCGCCATCTCTCCCTCCTCCTCTGCTATCTCCTCCTCATCTCCATCCTCTTCTTCTTCAGACTTCTTCTTCTTCTTCTTCTTCTTCTTCTTCTTCTTCTTCAGACTGGAGACTTGACACGAGTTGGACAGAGATCATTGTTGGACTTTGGTGGTAAGAGGCTGTGATACTTACCGGATTCGAGACTTGGAGATTGTTGSGGTTGATACTCRGCGGCATCACAGATTGGACACCGGTTACATTAGGACTCTGTACCTCCGACATTGGTGACTTATTGTCCACGACATTTTGATCTTGTTCGATGACATTTTGGACTACCATATCGGGGACCTACTGGATTCTATCTCGGTGACATCTGGCGCTTTGATTCTGATCCATCATCTGGGTGGAATTGGGGCTGTTGTGGGGAAAATCTATAACACACTCTGCAGCAGTGAAACCTTTGTGAACCGACGGAGTTTTTGTACCGCGTGTGTGATTCCCACAGGCTGTACCCACTCTTTGAGTGTACAAGGAAGGAGTAAGCTGAAAGTGCTGCTGCTGTCACCCGAGGGGTCACAGATTCAGAAAGGATCTGGATTCTACGTCTTCCCCTGATCGCCACACACCCGCATTTTGGCTGCACCGGACTGGGAAGGTAGCTTGTATACATTTGTTTTCAGGCTGCGTTGTGTTCGGGGGAAGACGGTAGGTGTCACATGTCAATGTGTCCTAGCGTCACCTGTGGTGTGTCATTGGTAGACGCTTGCAGTTTCCATAGTGTGGCAGGGACCCCCACAGGCTGTACCCATAGCTGGGACATCAGATGGAGAAGGGGTGTGGTGGTCTGGCCCATAGTGCTCTTGGTGTCGCGTGATCTGTCTACAGCCCCAGGCGAGTGGTGGATTCATGCTGTTGTCTGTCAATACACCTTTCTTGCGGAGTTCAGCTGTGTGGGGGTGAGTTGTTCTGGGCTGCAAATACGTGTTAAGGGGATGGATGAGTGGGCGCCTGACTCAACCAGAGACATGGAGACACTGTTTTTGGGGTTATGCAGCTGGTAGACTAAACAGGATATTAGTGACCTTCATTCTTTTTATTTTTTTCCGGAACGGTGGTTATTTTGACAATCATTGAGGAAAAGACACTCACACACACTGTTCTGCTCCATGCTGCTTGCTACATAGGCAAACTGTTTCATTGTTGGAATGGGTAATCTCAGGTATGCTTCATTGTCTGCAACAGAGGTAAAGCTGCATGGATTTTGGATATACTCATCTGGGTGAAATAGGTGCAATCAGACTCAACTCTGGACTTGCTCACAACATGCACACTTGAGAACCGATGGCAAGACTGAACTCTTTCAACTCAAAAAAACAACAATGAACTTGTCTTAAACTCAATCTTAACAGCTGCACAACTTGCGGCTATGGCCGCCGAACACGGTCTCTACCACCAGCCTCACTCTCTCCCTCACTGTCTCATGCGTGCACGTACGAGGATCACCCTGAATGTCCCCACTCAGCACAGCCTCACACACTCTGAACACTTGTCTTCACCAACAGCTGGGCGGCTATGGCCGTYGTCGTCTTCCTCCTGCTGGCTATGGCCGCCGGCATCTACCCCACTGGCCAGCTATGGCCGYTGTCTTCTTCACTGCCCACTTCGTCTCCAGGCACCTGCAAGACACCAAGGCAGCTCTTCCGCATGGCTCACAGGCGAATGAATGAATGGCTGGACGCTGCCTGTTTATTTATACTTTGGAGGTACCCGGACCCTGCCTCCAGACCTGTGGGCCTGGGCCAAAACGTGTGGCCCAGGGAAGCTTCCAGACGTTTGGCCTTCTGGTCCAAAACGTGTGGAACTCTCTGCATGCTCCAGAACCTTCCCCACGTGCAGCCCTTACCCAGGTACATGCTGGCTGGACCCCCCCTACAGAACCCTACGGACTTCTGGAACCTACAGACTCTACAGACTTTCGACAGACTCAGTAGAGACTTCTAGAACAGGCTTTCTAGGCCTATTGGTAACAGACCTAGCTGCTAATCTACAGACCTAGGGATCAAGTCCTACTGACCAAACTACAGACTAACCTAAGTCGTAGGACAGGTTTGGGGATCGAATCCTACTCAGGTCAYGGGGTCTATGTACAGGTACAGGGTAGGTCTAGGGATCGAATCTCACTCAGCACACAGGGTCAATGTACAGGGTTAGGGCACAGGTCTAGGGATCGAATCTCTGTGACTGCAGTACAAGATCAACTGGGTGAAACCGTTTCATAGGGGTTGTTGTCGTGAAAATCAACAACACACAGACACCTGGCACTTAACCGCACCATTGTGGCGATCTTATACTCATTTAAATCGTACATGGAAGATGGATGGATTTGGGGATCGTGTTTGTTGATTTTGTGCAAACAGACATGACAGGCTTGGCAGCTCTCTGCTTTGGTAGGTTGAGAAGCCGCGGAAATGCACAATTGTTAGCGGTTCTCCCGTTGTATGTGTCAGCTGGAAGTTGCCTTTAGGGCACTTGTTGTCAGTATGTTTCGCTCACAGTGCTTAATCCTGTTTATCGAGGGATATGGTCGTGATATGCTGTATTATGCTTTGGTATTGCGCCATGGTGTCTCATTGTTGGTGACCTGGCTGTGGTCTTGGCTGTGCGCCGAACATCTGGTCTCCTCAGATTCATCAAGAATCGGACAAGGGAAAACGCTTTCCCAGCTTGAAGGAGTTACTGAGTGGGGAATGCCAGGTGCTGTGGCGACTGAGTTGTGATTGTCGATACAACAACAAAAGAGCTTTCTGCCATGTCCCAGTACCTGTGTCGCAATCATGCGCCACACTGCGGAGTGCCTTAGATAAGGAGTTTCCGGAAGCAGAATACCTCTATGGGAGCGACTCCAAGAAGTGCGACAGGTGCTCTGGGAAGGTGTGCTTTCGATCTGGGAAAGGGCCTTTCTTTGTCTTTTCTGTTTTTTTTAGGCCTTTCGTAGTGATACTTTGTGCATTAGTATCATCTTTTGAGGTCATGGATTGGAAATTGGCAGCAGGTAGGTTGAGAAAGTGACCCCACAGGGTTGGGGTTTCTACTTTATGATGTTGCCTGGCAATGTTGTAGCATTTTGTCTTCAACCGTATGGCAAATGCATGCGGGAAGTGTCTGCTTTTGGGTATGGCATGAGTTATTCTTAGTGGCCAAGTGGTCATGTGTCAGTGCAAATTGTTTTCTGTAACTGTAGCGCTTCACTGATCATAAGGGAGTGGATGAACATTAGCAGAAAACATTCTCGGAATTTAGTTGTGTGATCCAAGGAACTCAGCAGTTCGGATTTCATGAAGCTTGGTTGCATTTCCTCGTTAGGCTTAAGTCATGGGATTACTGAGGATAGTGGAAAAGTAACTGGCATCTTTAAGACATTGATTGTCGTTTTGATTGCCCTGCTTTAGCATGCAAATGAAAGAAAGCAGTCGTTGAGAATGCCGCCTACACAAGCATTCCATTGCGCGTGTGTGTGTGTGTGTGTG